CCGCATCTATCCCTGGGGACTTCATTGCTCTGCTCCCCCCGCTGCTCTGCTGCATACCCCTAGAGGCTGGCTTCAGCATAGTGAACTCATGGCTGGCACAATTCCCTCCGTGTAATGACCGTCTACTTTACAAAGCATGATGTCCCTTTCCAGGTACTGGTCCTTCCTAATAACACCAAAAGGTCTGTGAGGCAGTCTCTCCATCCTATCCTCTAAGGAGCATTTGGCTGTTACTTCCTCCAAGACTATTTATTTGAGGTGTGTTACAGCCCTGGATTTTTATAAGCTCCTCAGTTAAGAAATGTAAACCTTTTAGAAACACTCCTTGCATTTTTATTCTGAGGAGCAACCGCCTCCCCAGCCTTCATACACATGCACAAATCTGATACAAAATTTTTAGTACAATTTGGCAACCTCAATAGTAACAAGAGAACAGCTAAGGAGCTAGTACAGGTGGCGCTCAGACGTGGGCTCTTAGTCACATTGCTCAGGCTTCTCTGGGACTTCTTTTGGCTTCAAAGCTCAGTTTTCTCACCTGTTGTTGGGTGTCATTGAGTTGATTCCAACTCAGCAACCCTGTATGATAGAGTAGGATGACTCCCACAGGGTTTCCAAGGTTGTCATCTTTATGGAAGGGGGCCTAATAAATGCTTAGTGGTCAAGCCACTAAGCTCTCAGCAGGAGAGGTGATCTAGCAATCTGACCCTGTGAACATTCAGAGTAGGAAAATCTATGGGGCAACTCTACTCTGACCTCTCAATCCTTGGCTCACAGTTACAACAGCAATCGGATGGGAGCAGTTTGTCAGGCCTCTGTCCCCTGGTAGCCTCTGGTGGGTTCAAACCACTGAACTTTCAGATCGCAGCTGAGTTCCTGACCACTGCACCACCAAGGCGCCTTTCTCATCTCTAATGGGAAATGATGTGCTTAGTTCATATGGTTGCGTGGACGATGGAAGGACACAATGTGTGGGAAGGACTTAATAACTGAGAAATAACAGTAACCATCATTTTATTTGGAGTGCCACAATTGTTCATTGCCTTTTTCCCTGTATTTTCTCATTTAACCTCAGAGACACAAACGGTAAAGTAATTGACTCATGGTTCCACAGTGAGCCGAAGTCTCTCGTATTTCTTCGTTCTTGTCTATTAGACTGTTTCTGCTAGCCTGGCTTCAGTTTTTCTTTTATAACATCGTGTCTTTGTTCTTTTATTTTCAAGTTTTGTAATGTTCATGGTGATCACTGTCTTAGTCAACCATTAATCTGGTTCATAATGAACTCATGTAAGATGACAAGCTTCATTTCATAAATGGAATCCACTTATAAGATTGTTGCTTTCCTAAGGTATTTTTCTTTCTTCAGAGTACTTGTACAATAAGCCAGAATTCCCCAGGGGATGTTATTACTGTGATTGCTTGCCATTGAACATTTTATTGAAGCCAGTTGTGACATGTTAATGGAAAGGATTCCAGTCATAAAACTGAGATGCTTGACTGATATAAAATGTCGTTAAAGAAGTTGTGCCTTTTTGTCTGAAAATAAATCCTTAGGCAGATATCTCTAAAGTAGAGGGTTTTGTTTGTTTGTTTTCCTACGACACAATCTTTAAGTCAGTTTTAATTAGTAGAAGAGCCCCCTTTTCTTTTTCTTCCCAAACTTTAAGACCTCTAAAAACTATGGATCTAGTCTTGTTTTTGCATGCAGTCTCCCTAAGAGATCAGAGCCTCTGGCCTAGGCAGGCCTTTGACCAAATGATTGAACAGATTAGTTTTAAAGCCCTGTAGCGTCTCTATCTGTATTAGGGTGCCTCAGCTGTGTGGTATTGTTTATTTGGGATTTTCAAACTGACTCCCCAAATCTATTTATAAGTGATTGTGATCTAGGGTATTTCAAGTAGGACCCTCTGAATGACTCTTCTATCTCAGACCTGAGGTTTAGACCATCTGATTATTTGAATTCAAGAATGGAGATTAAGGGTGACCTCCTACTGAGCAGATTAACTGCATTCTGTTTATTGTGTAAAGAGTTCTGGTGGCACAGTGGTTATGCATTGGGCAGTTAACCCCAAGGTTAGCAGTTCGAAACAGCTAGAGGCTATGTGGAAAAAAAGATGACGTTTTCTACTCCCATAAAGAGTTACAGTGTCAGAAACCCACAGGGAGTAAGTCTGCTTTGTGCTGTAGGGCTGCTACAAGTCAGAATCAACTTGATAGCAGAATTTGAGTTTGAAGTTTATTGTTTAGGCTGCCCAGCTGTATTGTGTCCCATTTGGTAGTATAAGAAAATTATATGTGTTTTTAAATCTGATTCAAGGTAACAAACATTTTTAGGTGCCTCCTATATGAAAATCATTTATGTTAGAATCTGTGAATATGTGAGAAGCTGGGGAAGATATGGACATATAAACACTTCTCTATAGATGAGAGTCTGTTATTAATGCTATCATACAGATAAAAGCCATTACCATGGAAGTATGGAGATGGAAAGGAAGATTTAGATTTTCATTTTGGTTTCTTAAAAAAGAAATATAATGTGCTTTGTTTTTCCCTATGGTTCTTTTCTTTTTTTTAAACTTTAATTTGTAATTTGGGTGAAAATTTGCAGAGCAAAATGGATTTTCATTCAGCAGTTCATATGCATCTGGTTTGTGACATTGCTTCTACTCCGCACACTGACACTCTTTCCACTCCCTTCCTTCTCCTTCCATAGCCCCTACTGCTTTGGACCTTTACCTCTGGGCAAATGCTGCCCTTTGATCTATAGTGTGCTTTAAATGATAGTCAGTGAATAGTTTTGGAATAATGAGAGGGCATATGGTAAGAATTACTCCTTAAAAATAAAATGTTCAGTTCTTAAAAAACATTTTGTTTTGCAGGGTTGGGGCCTGGGGAAGTGGGGCGTGAAATGTGTGCAGCAAAATATTTGCTGGTTCAACAATTTATGCATAGTGTAGTGTTAGATTTACAGAATATGCAATAGATAGAACATGACTTTTTTTTTTCTCTTTTCTCTTTTTCATAATTTTATTTCCCCTGATATGTATTTAGAAAAAAGTGGAGCCATTTGCCAGTGTTGTTAGTCTTCCGTTCCCATTCATATCAGAAATCAATAAAGTTGCTGTATTCACTGGGGTGAGTAAACTTTGCCAATTTTTTATATTCTCTCTTTTTTTAGCCTATCACCTTAATCAGGGATTAAGATTGCTGAATAAATAGAATGAGCGAAAAACCTTAGCTAAACTCATTTTGTTATTAATTCATATTGTTTCTCACAAGAAACCGAAGTGTCGGATTTCTCCCCCTCCCTCTCTTCGTAGACAGCAGACTAGGGCTGTTTGACAGCAATGGGCCTCCTGAGTGTTGTGGAGACAATGAAGTTGACCTTTTTGAGAATGTCTGTTCTTGGAAAATAAACAGTAATATAATCCTTTGTGAAATGTCAATAATTTACTTGTAAAGTATTTATAAATTTGTTTTGTAAAGTAGCTTAATTCTTCTCCATCTAAAGCTCAAACTTGAGGCGTTTTAAGGCTTTGCTTCACTCTCAAAGAGTAAACTCCTTTATTTCCCGGAGTAATGGGGTGTCTGGTTGATAAACAGCCACAAAACTTAGTCAGAATGGGGTGTTAGGTTTTCACTGTAAAACTTAGTCAGAATTGGGTGTTGAGTTTGCACTGTGAAATGAAGTGGGACAAATAGAACACACAAAAAGGAACTAATCAGTATTGTTGTTACTCCTTTAGAGTTTTTCAGACACTTGACTAAATTTAAGTGTTATCATTTATTGTTAAATGACCCCACCCTACCCCCACGTCCCCACCTTCTCTGTTGGTTTGGTCAAATGTCTTTTTGAAGGAGCTTGAAAAAAATTGTGGGAAAATTCCATTATCTTTTAAATCAGTTTTTCTATGAACCTTGTGAAGCCCCATCCTCTTTAACTTAACAAACGAAATGTATTTCGATTTTGCTTTGGAAGGTGACGCGTTGATCAACCACTGGCGATGTAGGCTGATCCACTTAGTAGGTTCCTACTGAGCCATGTTGATGCATCCTCCCTCGTGCCAGTCAAGAAACCATTCAGTCACTTTATGAGCAAAAGGTGTTTGTACTCTTTCTGATTCATTTAGTTGGAAATTGATGCATTTTTATTAAAAGTAAAAACCCACAATTTAAATTTTGAACTGGGATATTATTTTTGACAAAATTCTTGAAAGCTACCTGACGAGGGTTTTTTTTTTGGTGTTTTTTGTTTTTAACATTATTTCAAACTGTTGTATTTTGGTAGAATGCATCAGAGATGAAAATAGCAGAAGAAAATGGAGCTGCATTTGCAGGAGGAACTAACCTGGTTCAGCAGGTACAGCATTGTTTCCATGTTCATTACTTCTAGAAATTGTTTCTGTAATATTTACGATCCATTTATTTATGACATGTAACTTAACCACTATGCTCATGGAACAGGGGCATGTTTTCGATCCTTTCAGTCTTAAAATCAATGTAAGAAACAACTTAGCAATGCAGGACAATCTGGTATCAACCATGCTTGAGATCCATTGAGATTTCCCATTTCTTGCTTCTTTGTGTCCATGAGAATATTGAGGGTAGATTGGAGACGACACCATGACATTGTGGCTTTGAAACCCAAATTTAAATTGAATCCAAAACACACGATGTCTTTATGTTTTAAAGATCATATAGTAGTTTTGCTTTTTAGAGTGAGAAGTGTGATTTACTTGTTTCTAAACTCTGACCTCTGTAATAGGGCACTTTTGATTACTGTAAGCTTTTTCCTCTAGCCAACTCAGAGTGGCACAGGTTTAGTATTATATAGCCTGCGTTCAGAAGACAACAGAACTGGTGGATCCTCCTTGAAAACAAGCAACTTGATTTCCCCCCCTAAATAAGTGGGAGAAAGAGGCATGTATGGTGAAAATTTGGGAATGATTTCTGAAAATATATAAAATTATAACATTCTCCAAAATCTCCTCTTCTAAATATAATCACTTAGATAATGGAATACATCTGTCTACATAGTTAGGTGCTATAGTGGTGTCGTGGTTAATTAAGCCCTTAGCTGCTAACTAGACGTCAGCAG